GCCGCGCGGGGCTGGGCGGGGGAGCCGCGGCCGCGCTCGGAAGTTGCTGACAATAATAAGCACCTTCATCCCCCCCAAAGGCGGAGAGAGGGCGAGGAGGAGGAGGAGGAGGAGGAGAGGCGGGGGGAGCGCCGCGCCGATGCCGACGCGAGTCACTCGGCGGCGGCGGGGCGGGCGCGACCACAAGCTCGCGGAGCGGCGCGGATGTCAGCGCGGCCGAGGGCGACTGCGCCCCGCTAGCCCGGACCCCCGGCCTGCCCCTCTGCGCGCCCAGCGATGTATTCACTGCTCTCCGCCTGCACTTGCTTGTAAGGATTACGGCATATATATTTTTTCCTTTTTTTTTTCTTTTTTTTTTCTGTTTTTTAAAAAAATATATATAGCATATGTATATATGTACATTTTTTTTTTTATATAGAAAGGAAAACTTTCATTTCGGAGGCTCTGGTTGCCTTCTCTGTGCAATCAGGTGGTAACTGGGGACCTGAGCCTTTTTATAAGCAGAGCATCGAGCTGTGCCGTTTAAAAAAAAATTACAAACAAAAACAAAGCAAAAAAAAAAAAAAAAAAGAGAAACTTCTATAACCATTTTACCGCATCATTTGATCTTTTGTTGCTTTTTTTTTTTCTTCTTTTTTTCTCCTCTCCAGATGTTTACATTTCCTGTTGCTGTGCTTTCAGGTACAGGTACGTGTCCTTTCCGTCCTCTTTCTCTTTTGGTTGTAAAAAGGGAAAAAAAAAAAAAAGGAAAAGAAACAAAGGCGCGTGGTTGACCTGTGGGTGCCAGGCACTTTCGGACAGGGCTCCCGCGTTCCCCTCTGGTTTTTACAGCCAGATTCAAACGCTCCCGGGGCAGATGCGGGAGAGGCGCTCGCTGCCTCCCACTGCCCTCGGCCGCAGCCGGGGGATCCTCGGGARCTGCCTGGCGATGGGAGAGGGAGCCCTGCGCTCTCCTCATTGAGCAGGGGCGATGGATGCACTTGCCCGGGAAGAGCAACCGCTCTCCTCCTTGCTCGCCCTCTTTTTTTTTTTGCCCCCTTTCCCCTTTTATTTTTTTTCCTAGGGAACTTTCTCTCGGGAAAAGCTGAGACTTTGCAAAAACCTGAGGCTGCCGCGGCRCTGCCTGCCCGGCCCTCGCTGCGAACCCATCCCAGGCAGCTCCCGCCTTGGATGCTGCCTGGCAGGGACCGAGCCGCTTGCCCGGGCGCTGCAGTGGTCCGGGAGGAGGAGGAGGAGGATCAGGGAGGAGGCACCGGCGCTGCAGGTGCCCGCGTCCCCTGCACTGGGGCAGCCCCTTCCCGCCGGCGCCTCTCGCACCTGCCGCCGCTCCCTGCGGGAGCTGCATCCACCCGCTTCCATCCCRCAGGCTCAACCGAGCCCCGAGCAACGCCCAAGACCCCCCGATCAGTTTTCCTCCCTTTGCAGAGATGCCACTGCCCGCGATGCCCAGGGCGGARCGGGTTACGCGGCCGCCCATGGCCCTGCGCTCGCTCCGGTGCATGTTTCCCAACCCCAGGAATAACCAGCTGTGCCGGGCTCCCGGCAGCGGCACCCACTGCGGCGGGGAGACAGACTGTTTATTTTTTATTTTTGTGGAGATTGTGGCGGTAACTGAAAGTTAATCAGCCCCCTGGCCCCGCTCTCTTCCCCCCCCCTCCACCTCCCTTTGGTGCTTTTAGTGAATCAGAAAAAGTTCTGGCTCGCTGCCTGGAAAGCACTTGCTAAAATCTGATCTCTTACTTCAGCAGCCTTAAAACTTGGGAAGTTATTGGCATTTATACAGTTGGAGCTTGCAGGCTTCCAAAGCAATAAAATAATAAAGAAAAGAAAAGGGGGGGAGAAGAAAGAAAGAAAAGAAAGCAAGCCCTGCAGTCTCTATTAGAACCGCAGTTTCTTGGTTCAGCACCAGTTTTTCCGCGTTTCGCTGGGTTTTGGGTGCGGGTCGGCGCCGGGTGCCGCGGGGTGCCCGCTCGTCCGGCGCTGGGCGCGGGGAGCGTTAGATTAGCCGTCCTCAAGGGCCTTCGGGGGAGTGTTTGCAGTCTTAATGGGAGATGAAAAGATGTGAGCGCTGTAAGTTTTTATTGCCCGTTTTGTTACGCTTGCTTTCTGGATTTATTCACGGGATTACGTGTTTTGAGCCTGAATGGGAGAGAGGGATTATAGGATTTCTTTTATAACGATCAGTTTGGGTAGGAGTTAGCCTTTGGTGAACTAGAGTAAATTAATGCATCGCTTAGCTCGAMTATTTATTTAGGCTAAAGGAAATTGTTTAGTTTTGCTTAAAGGGCTCTGTGTTGCATTGGGGAGATTTGGGCCTGCCTAGGGGGATTATGTTATGAGGCCGGCTCGTGCCCCCCCATGGACGGCACCATCGGGGCATCGTCCCGCCTGTTGTTTTAGAGTTGTGGCCCTGGCTTCTGCATCTTGGCTTTGCCTGCGACAGCACCGATACCCCAGCGCATTGCGGAGCACGGGCCGTGTTTTCCATCACAGTTATCGGTGTATTCCGCGTTTTCCCGGGATGCGCTGGGTGGGATGCGCTGGGCGGGATGTGCGGTGATGCGCAGGACTTGTCCGCTTGGGCACTATGGCCGCTCACCTGCTGGCAACGCTGCCCTTTCCTGAGGCCTCTCTGGATATTGTGGCCATTTGCAGAGTCACGGAATCAGAGAATCCTTAAGGTTGGAAGGGACCTCCAGAGGTCATCTAGTCCAACCCCCTGCCCACGCCTCCGTTTGGGCTGTTTGATCCATCCGTTCCCAATCCTTTGCTCCCGCGTTGGCCTCCGTGTCGTGGCTTGGTGGCCAGGATGGCCATTGGCCAGCGGGGGTTGTGGAGGTCAGAGGAGGCAAACCAGGCTGGGGGCCTTCAGGAGCAGCTTTCGGACTCCAAAAGGAGTTGGGGCTCCTCAGGAACCCCACTAGCACATGGCCAGTGTGGCAAGGGACCTTAAGGAGCAGTGTTTGGTGTAAAGGAGTGCTGGGTGCCTTGAGTTTCTGCAGGAGGGAGGTGAGCTTTGGGTCAGGGGACTGACGCTGGTGGCAGGGATGTCGCCAGCTGTTCTCCTGCTCTTGAATCTCGAGGTCTTCCTCATGCACTCTGGGTTGTTGGAGCGATGTCTTGGGAATGCTGCAGGTGGCCCTGCTTCCCGGTGCCTGTTTCTTCCCTGCTGCTCACTCATCTCACCTGTGTCCAAAACGCTGCATCCCCAAAGCGCCCCATGGGCTTGTGTGTCCCCATCAGGGAGGGTCACGGCAGCGGTCTTTTTGCCCCCTTTGATTTGCTTTTTACCCACTGCTTCACCACCCACCCTGCTGCAGTGGCCCCCGACCCCTGGCGAGTGACGGAGCGGGTRCGTTGCAGTGAGGAGCACCACGTTGTCCTCCGTGGGGACACTTGGCTTTGTGGCAGGGCCACCTGCCACCCTGCTCGACAGGTCCCCRTCCCTTTTGCTTCCCAGCTTCCTGCCACCCCAGTCCTGCTGGGCCTGGCAGTGCTCCGTAAAATCCCTCAAATCCATGTGGAGCAGAAAGATGTGTGGAAATTGAGCTGCTTTGCGGGCTGCAGGAGGGCAGAAGCAGGTGTGCAAGGTGGCACCTGCCACCAGTGTTTGCAGATGTGGTCTTTTCTGCACGTGTCATGGCAATGGCCAGCGAGGCGGCACCGCTGCTCAGGTGCTTGCACCTGCAAGCATGGTTTGCATTTCAGCGTGCTGCTATTTCTGAGCCTTTAGAGATGTGCAATGTGCTCCAGGGGAGCAAGGAGACTTGGCCGTGGTGGAGCAGGGCGTGCAAAACTGGTGGGGTTTTTGCATGCTACCCTTGGCCCCTATGGGTGTCTGTATCCCCCTCTGTGGGGCTCTGAGGTTTTGGTCCCCATGGGCTGGGGCAGGAGGTAGAGCCAGGAACTCCGCAGGCCTCTGAGTTGCGCTGTCCAGAGAAGCAGCAAGAAAAAAAGAAATAAAATAAAAAAAAAAAAGGCTGACTCTGCCAAACCATTTTCTGCCTGGCATTCAGCAGCACCGCCATAGCATGAAGTGGGAAATAAAGGCGAGCGGGGTGCGCAGGCTCAGGCTGTCACGGTCCGTGCGCTTTCCTTTGGGCAGCAGCACACGGGCGCCTGGCGAGATGGGCCCTCCTGGCTGCAGCGAGGTGAGAAATGCACTGATCTTCCCCGAGATACCGGCCCGCTTGCTGAGGTGCCACCTCTGACAATGTCCTTCTGTGATAGCTCCTGTGCATGGAGATCAATGCCAGTGAACTGGGCATTGCAGGAATCATCCCTGCCCGAGGTGGCTGTGGGACCGGAGACAGCAGACGGTGGGAGCAGGGTGCTGGAGGGATGTGGCAGTGATGGGAAGGGACATGGGTGTGTGTGGTGACTCCTTTGCTAGCAATAACAAAACCTGCATTGCAATTAATTAATGTTAAACCTTGGTGAAGTTCCCTGGGAACTGCAYGTGGCATCCAGGCAAATCCCCGAAAGCAGCAATTTACTGGTAAGGGATTGCTGTTCCTCCAAGATATTTCCACCACTGCCTATTCCTCCTGCATCCTTTTTCTTCTGATGTGTATTGCAGCCCCCTTTCTTTCCTGCTAAAATGCTCTCTTTGGCAGCGTTTTTAGGGACAGCTTGTTAAGAAAGCTGTTGTGTCTTTTGGAGTACCCTGAGCTAGTCCTCTGCAGAAATACAGAATTAACACAGAAATACAGAATTAACACAGAAGTACATGGGAGAGTGGAAAGCATATTAAATAGCTAGTGTGTGTGCTGCTTGATCCTAGGCATGGCAGGCAGGGAGCATTTCCCCAAGCCCAAGGATGCGAAGTCATAAAACTAGATGATAGGCAGGATTGGTAGAAGGAACTTTTACCCCTCTTCTGTTGCAGTGAGTCCATCTRAAGACCATTCTGGGGTACACGAAGTAAATCTGTGCAGATCATTCAGTTCCTTGGGGGACATTGGCCTAGGTGCACGTGTGAGAGTTGACTGGTGTGGCTGCTCCATGGGTGGTGAGCGTGGACCTAAAACCTTTAGCAGGTCTTGATGCTCCTTGGGCTTCTCCTGTTGTCTTGAAGGCAAAGGTGGAGCTCGAGTGATGCTGAGACTCATTTTCCCTGGTTGAATCCAAGCTGTAGGCAGGATTTTGTTCTGTGGTGCGGATGTACAAATTAATAGCTAATGGGCTTCCTACTCCATTTGCAGCCGTGATTTACAACTCTGAAATGAAAGCGGATTTTGACCCCTTAAACTGCCAGGCCTTAAGGTTACGATACTGTATGGGTTGCATTAGCCCTCAAAGGTGATGCTCTACTGTAAAATTGCATGGTGCAATTTGCTATTGATTATCTGTAAAATAAATTATGATATATGTAGTGCAGGTTTCTGACCCCGTGGTCACGACCTCCCTCTGATTGGTAGGACTTCCGACCAGCTGAGATCAGAATAGCAAAGAGCCCCCCGGCAATCAATAGCTGGGAAAAGCAGCGCTCCTCCTCGCTGGGGCCTTTTCCAGGAACACCATTTCCCACTGCACGTGCACACCTGGGGTTTTATCCCAGGGTTTTATCCCAGGATTGGGGTGCTGTGAGTCCGGGCTCATATCTGCAGCTATCACATCCCCAGGCCAAATGGGGAGCCCTCTCATTCCCCACCCTTGTGTTGCCACCGTCCCTCTGCTGGGAGCTA